TCAACATTCAAAAAAGAGGTGAGGAGAATACAGTCCACATGTCGTCGGTTTGCATCCCACAAATGTGCAATAGTAGAAGTCGGAACGTTCCGGTCCATGGGGGAGGGGTGTGGGGGGGGTAACAAAGAATAGAAAACATTGGAAGATTTCATAGAAAAGAAATAACGTGCAGAGAAGAGAAATCATCTCCCCGTCCTGAGGAACAAGCCGTTGGAGGAATTCGGGTCCAACCCATTTCAAGTGAATTTAGGATTACACCGTCCTGGCGAACAGCTTCCTCAGGGCGGCGAGAATAATCCATCGGAACTGCTACACGGTGTAGATATAAAAGAGCTCACACACACACACAGAGAAGGGGCCCCGATGGGCCCTGTAAAACATGAAGTGTATCCGCACCCGATAACAGATATATTGCAGCACTTAGATGCGGCAGCTGCAATCGGTTTCCCTTTTAGGCTTTGTTACCTTTATTTAGGGATGCACCGATACCGAGTATTTGGGGCGAGTACTCGTACGCGCCCTAATGCTCCGATACCGGAACTTCCGGTCAGATAAAAATTTCCTCTGACCGGCAGCGCCGTAGGGGAACATGGAGCCAGCTTGTGATCAGGAAGCTGGGCAGCGAGTAATGACCCACCTCCCGGAAACATGGGGCCGGCTTCCCGGCCAATCAGGAAGTCGGGCGACGGGTAATGACTCACCGGGAAGCCGGCTCCATGCTGACTGGCCAGGAAGCCGCTTCCCCAGCCAATCAGCGATGAGCTGGCTGAACACCCGGCTCAATGCTGATTTGTTGGGAAGCGGCTTCCCAGCTAATCAGGAAGTTGGGAGGCGGGTCATGAGCATCGAGACGGCTTCCCAGCCAATCAGGAAGCTGGGAGGCGGGTCATTACTCGCTGCCCTGCTTCCTGATTCGCCGGGAAGACGGCTCGATGCTGATTGACTGGAAAGTCGGTTTCCTAGCCAATCACAATCAAGCCGGCCAGACAACATGGAGCCAGCTTCTTAAGGTTGTCGGGGAAGCCGACCCCATGCCAGCGGAAGCACCGGTATCAAAGAGTTCCCGAAAAGCAAAATATAGGTACTCGATACCGGAAAACCGGTATCAGTGCACCCCTACCTTTACCCGGTGATCCTGTCTGTAACACACTTCCTGTCCTAGGTGACACTCACTACTCCATTGTATCTATGGAGGGAGCCATGTTTGTCACCCAGGCCGGACTTCAAACCCCTCTGCCTATGTTCCTTTCCATTACACGTTGGATTGACGGGATTATTCATTTATAAAGGAAAGATAACATTGTAATTGCGCTCTTTGCAGCTCACAGGAAGTGACGAGGGCACTGCATTTCTGGCAGGATCGACTTGCTGAAAATGTTCTTATTCTGAATAATGAAAACCAATGCGGCCGCCACATCTGAGGACGGTACGCCACAATATAATACATTTTTGTTGTCGGGTTCAGATACTTTTTATCAACATTTCAGATACTCGTATTTAATGCATAGATACAAAGAATTGGACGAGAGGGTAAACCATTGAGGTTTCTTGTCTAGAGCGGGGGTTGGGCTCTTTTGTGTTTTTGTATAGAGCGGGGGTTGGGATCATTTTGTTTTTGTATAGAGCGGGGGTTGGGATCACTGCCAATGTGGTTTGATTAGGCTGCGGGAAGTCTATGGACGTGCATTGAACACCGAGTCCCACATCACATAACACAGGCAGAGAAGAAGACGCTGCAGAGGAGGATTTTGCAATTTCGGAAGGTGCCGCACTTTATTTGTTTGAAGGTTTTCGGGTGTTTTAGAAGGGCCATATTAAAGCAGAACTCCAGGGAATCATTTTATTAACCCTGGCAGAGGTGCTGCCCCTCCAGTGCTCTGTCCTGGCAGAGCTCAGTCATAGCCACACCCCTCATCAAAGGTGTCCTTATGTTGCAGAGAAGGGGAGGGGGGTGTGTCTTACCAGTTCTGCTACTGAGTGCTGTTTACTAAGAGCACTGGGTATAACACGGGTAGCTATTGGACTGCACATGTCATATGTAGAAACCTGGCACAGCGCTAACACGGGTGTCTATTAGACTGCGCATGTCATAGGTAGAAACCTGGCACAACAGTAACACGCGTGCCTATTGGACTGCACATGTCATATGTAGAAACCTGGCACAAAGGTAACACGGGTAGCTATTGGACTGCACCTGGCATATGTACAAACCTGGCACAAGGATAACACGCGTGCCTATTGGACTGCACATGTCATATGTAGAAGAGGTAAGACTATGAAGATGGATGGCTAGTACAATGTCCGCCTGCAGATCTATTGGGTGGGTGTTAATGATCTACAACGAAGCATAGACCCTGCAATATATAGGGGATCCGGTACAGATATTTGCTCCTCCTCAACAAAATTGGGCTTTCATCTTAAACACGACCCTTCAAAAATACACTAAAACCTTCATCAATGGAAGACCGCAGTGCAGCACCCGCCTCCCATGATGTCCTCCTCCACAGTATTGTGTTTAATACTACAGCACAGAGGGCTCTGCAGTCCAATAGCATTAGTCTGGAACATAAAGTCATGGCGTCACCAACCTGGACAATTCAATCTTAGCCATCATGACACATCACGTAAGGATTTACCTTCAGCGAGAACCACGTGTCAAAATAAATCAGTAGGGTTACGGGAATCTGAATTTCTACTGAAACCTTGAATCTTCTAGAAAAGCTCAGCTTGACCTCACCACCATTTTGCCTCTCGAGCCCCCCTATTGCTCATCCTAATGATGGGCAACCTCGTTGACAAGTAGGGAGGCTGTGGAGGTAGAAGGAGTGGGAGGACCAAACTCAACTTTTGCAGGATAGATGTTTATAGCTTCAGTGGTCTATATCTTTGGTGCTGGAGGCCCCTCGAAAGAAGAATTGTGGTTGGCTCACATGACAGCGAGGGATCTGCCTGAAGTATTTTATGTTACAATGAGGTTTCTGGTGGGTTTCACAGACATCACAACATTTGCGGAGTGTTGGACTATGAATCCAAGAATGGCTTTGCTTTCTCAAGCCCTTCTTTCAGAAACTTCACATAGGTGGAGGTGGACACATCCTCCAAACCGTCAGAAAAACTGAACAAGCTGGTGTCCACGTCCTCTGGCTTCACAGAAGTGATATCTAAGAAGTGGTTGGCGTTAATGTGGTGGACAACGGTGCCGTTGGGAAGACAGATCATCATTTCCACCGGGAAATTGTAGTTCTCCAAGTGAAGAGCGGCAAATGTTGTATACGGCTTGCTCTCCTGGTTATTTTGGAGTTCCTCGAGCTCCTTCACCAGCGACCAACTGCTGACGAAGCTCTGGTTGAGCAAAGCGAGAACGGGCAAACTCTCCAGGACGGTTTCCCGGAGAGTTCGCCCCGAACCTCAGCAGGATTGATCGTCCAAGGCGCCCCAAAGTAGGATGGAGTGTACAAGTTTCTTTTCGGCAAAAGCTCTATCAAAAGCTTCTGTGAAAGGAAGGTAGGGCACCTTCTTAAAGGGGTACATGGTGACCTCAAGCTTTTTGGCAGCTTCCTCCCGACTTATTTCGGACTGCCAAACAATATCGTCAAATACAAACTCTAGAGGTTCGCCGTTGGGGCTACGGCTGTCAATGGCATCTCCGTTTTCATCATAGATGACTGAAGGGATGGAAGGACCCATGGACTCCATTTCCATCTGAGGCAGGTAGCCAATGTCCACCTCCATATTACTGCTTTCGCTTGCTCCATACAGCCACTCCATATCGACATTCAAAGTCCGGTTATTAGGGACATACGTCTTGAAGTATCTCACATGAGACCCATCTTTGGAGATGACAATATGGCCGGTGAATTGACCTGGAGAAAACCAAAAAGGATAATTGGGTGGTTCGTTGAGCTGGAACTCGGCATGAATCCGGAAAACAATGTCATAATAGAAGTCCCCGACGGCTCGGATGCAAGCCACCGAACCTTGAGGAGCAAACCTGGTTTTCACGAATGGACGAGGATGAAACATGGACAACAGTTTGTGGATGAAAACTTCTTTTCCCTTTGGAGGAGGCGGATAAATTCGGTTATTAGGCAAGTAACCCGTGAAGATATTTAACTCGCTCGGGATAATCCACCAAGGATCGCCAAGATCCAACTTGTGCTTTGGCGGGAGAAAGGCTTTAAACTGCTTGGCAAAGAAAATGGTAGTCGGTGTTACCGGGACAGTCCAGTTTCTCAATCCCGAAAGAGCGCTGTTGGTAATCCCCAAGAAGCCATCTTTGCTCTTGGTCATGGTTTCCATGAGCAGAGGCTGGAAGCGGGCAGTCACCGACAAGGTTTCCCCATTGGGGTCCAGGTCCTCCTCCTCTTCGTAGTCAGACGCTGGGGTTATCCCGGTGAGCTTTTCGGCTATAGGTTTAAACTCCTCGGGACTTATGTACAAATCCTTGTTGCTATCCAAGGAAGAGAAGAGGAACAGACCCTCGGTGCCGAGGGCCCGAAGAGCCGCATCCTGCTGCTTCACCAGTTCGTTATCGCGGTACAACTTTACCCCAATCAGCAGGGCAATTACCAAGAACACAATGGCCGCCCTTCTAAAGAACTTGTACCAAAACAAGGGCTTCTTTTCTTCCTCGCTTTCTTCTTCGTCCACAGTTTCTGGAGGCGCCCCATTTTTCGTCTCCCTGTCTTTTTTCCTCTTCCGAAGGTCAGTGGTCATATCTGCAATACAGAAGAAGCCACAATAACAAGCTCAGAGGATATTCACACTCCTCTAATACAGGGGTCTCAAACTCATTTCACTCGGGGGGGCCACTCCAACAATTTTTTTTTTCTCCCATGGGGGCCGGTTGCCAAATTTCATGCTTCAAAATAAGATTTCATGTGTAATAAAATGTAATGGTATCCGATATGATTACAGGCGGTTAGAAAACGCTCTCCCTGGATGCACAATCGATGCGTCCGGGGAGAGTGATTGATTCCTAATCACATGTAATCATATCCCATACAAGTACATGCGGGGTGCAGGCGTTTACATGCAGCTGCTGTCACCTGATCATTAACTTCAATGGGTGACAGCAGCCGCTTGTAAACGCCAGATTAGGGATTCCTGCTGCAGGAAAACGCAAGCTCCTGACGCAGGAATCCCTAATTGCACCTTAAGATACAGGTGTGAATGGAGCCTAATACACTCCTCCCCCCCCCCCACACACATAAAAAAACTACCCCTGTACATATAAAATAATACCCCCCCACACACATAAAAAAAAAAAATATACCCCCACATATATAGAGATATATATATACACACACACTCCCCCACATATAAAATAATAAGACCCCCTCCTCCCCACCCCGCACATATAAAATAAAATAAACTACAGAGCCCCTCTCCTGCTTACCTTTTTACAGGAAGGAGGCTGCGAGGAGCCACGATCGATCCCTGGTGCTCTAGCGGCGATTAGTGAGGTCTGCTGCAGACCTTACTAATACATCCTTTCAACCGAAGCTCAGAACTGACAGCGCTCCAGCCGAAATGATCTCAGTGCCGGAGCTGACAGTAGGAGGAGCTCTGCGGTCTGCATCCGACACAGATGCAAACCGTGTAGCTGCTCCCGCAAGTCAGGTACGCGACTTGTCAGCTGGCTGTGGGCCACATAGTACCAGACCGCAGGCCGCAGTTGGCCCACGGGCCGGTACTTTGAGACCGCTGCTCTAATATTTATAATGGACATTGTAGCCATTTAGTAGGAAACTAGACCATGTGGATATCAGGATAAGGGAAGCTCAAGTGCCTGGACCCAACAGTTGCATGAAGCCATTGAGGAGCTAAGGAATGTGTATGCTTTGCTGCAGTGCCATTGAGTGCTTCCTCCATTGCCTGCCCCGCCCCTCTCCTCCATCCCATCAGGTAGAGATTTAAAACTGCAGATGGTGCAACACAGCCCCAAAGAAGTTCTAGAAGCCACAGGTTTGTTTATGTTAATGATTCCTAAACACATCACAGCACCCTTAGTACTTTCTCAAGAGCCCTCAGCCCCAGGGGAGCCATCAGGGGGGTACGGCCGATACTCATGTAAGGGGCCCGGGCAGCCTGGGGGACCCGCCCGGGTCCCTTACATGACTATGGGCGAGGAAGCGGAGGCCAGGCCCTAGCAGCGCAGAGCCCCAGCATTGCCGCTCCAGTGGCTTCGAGACAAGCTGGGGCCCCATCAGCGATGCTGCTCGTCTGATGTCGGACTGGCCGGAAGTGACATCACGGCAGGCAGACGAGGCCATGTGTGCAGGTAAGAGGAGCTAGGAAGGAAAGGAGGGAGGGAGGGGAGGGATGCAGCCCTGAGCAGATGGGCTGTGCAGCATCTGTGGTGGGCTCTGCAGGGTCACTCTCAGGTGGGTCCTGTGTCCATCGCGTCACTAAGCCCGTGTCCAGCGGCGGGGGGGTGCCCAGCCTAAAGCCGTGTAAGGGGCCCCAAAATTTCTGACGGCTGCCCTGCTCAGCCCTGATGTAAGCAGTGGGAGGAGTTATGCAAATATCAAGATGCTTTGATTGATGGATGTCAGTCTGGAGGAGTGGGAGTCCCTAAGCAGGCTGTATTTGCATGAAGACCACCCTAAGTAACGCCCACATGTGATGCTGAGCCTCCATGATTGAAAGAACTGAAATTCAATGAAAGGGGCGGGGCCAGTCAGGCTGCGGGGCCAGATCAGAGGTGAACAACTCCGGCCCTCCAGCGGTGCTTTAACTACAGATCCAAACGTGCCTCTGCCTCTGGGATTCATGTCTGCGGCTGTCAGAGTCTTGCAATGCCTCATGGGACTTGTAGTTCCATAACAGCAGGAGGGCTGGAGTTGCCCACCCCTGGGCTAGAAGATGCTAGACATCCTCCAGCCCAGGGGTAGGCAACCTCGGCTCTCCAGCTGTGCTGAAACTACAAATCCCATAAGGCATTGCAAGCCACAGGCATGACTCCCAGAGGCAAAAGCATGATGGAATTTGTAGTTTCAGCACAGCAGGAGAGCCAAGTTGCCTAGCCCTGCTCCAGCCAGTCAGTGTGGTATCCACGGAAGAGCAGCGTTGTCACTTAAGGCCGCTCCCCTGATTTGGCCTGCAAACACCTCCCCGGGATATTAATAAATACGGAGCCGCATGAACGTGCGTCTTCATTATCTGTCCGGGGTTCAGCTTGAGGTCCATGAAGCGAATGGCTGGCTGGAGATGAATGAGCCGAGCTCATGAAAATCCAATAAAGTATAATATTGGCCTGCAGGCGTCACCCTCAGCCAGTGACCTTCATGTGTTCCAGAGCGGAAAGAATAATGATGGTGCGGGAGAGGTATCACTGCGGAACCGGAGCCCGGAGGCAGACGAGGAGACGGCAGCGCCATTCATAAATCTGTCCCTCTGCACTGGAATCAGACTGGCAGCCATCAAAGGGGGGGACTGGTCCGGTTTATGTCCCCAATGTGTCCAGCGATACATGACCCCATGAAAAGTTTAGTCTGCTTATGTTTTACCTTCCCAAGAGCAGCGGTGTAACAATAGCCATAGCTGCCCATGCGGCTGCTATGGGGCCTGGGGGTGGAAGGGGGCCCCCATTAGGGATTGCAGAAGTTGCTGTTGACACTGAC